AAGAGATTGAGTAAAGCCTGCTGGTAACAGACCATCCAGGAGGGGCGGGAGTTGCTGCCAGGGACACAGTGGAAAAAAACTGTCACACGGCCCTGCCCTCAGGGAGCTGACCCAAACGGGGAAGCAGGCAAGAAACAAGAAGCGAAGTGTGTGACATGTCCCTTGGTGGCAAGTGCAGTGGACGAGAATAACACCAGGGCTGCAGAGCTGGGGCGGGTGCAATTATAGGTCGGGCGGCGCACAGGAAAGTTGTGGGGAGCTGAGGGACGGAGGCCAAGCAGATTGCTGGCAGAGGAGCCTCCAGGCAGAGGGAACAGCCTGTGCAAAGTGCCAGCAGTGGGACTGTGCTTGTGCAAGAGCAGCAAGGAGGCCCCGGGGGCTGGACAGGGCCAGTGAGGGCGGAGGGGAGGAGGGGACATCCCGGAAAGGGCAGGTAGGCCCCGCAGGGCCCCGCAGACCCACCTGGAGACAGTGGCTTTCACCCTGAGTGTTGAAAGCTGTGGGAGAGTTTGGGCAGCAGAGCGCTGGGATCTCTCCAGCATCACTCCCGTGGACACCCGCTCACGTCCCTGCTCTCCCATCAACCCCAGCTGGATCCCATTCTGCCCACACCGCCCACAGTCCCAACGTTCCCCGTTCACGCAACGCGCTTCCACGCAGCCAGCCAATTTCCCTCATCTCTCTTCTCACAGCTTCCAGTGTCTCCCCACGCTCTGCTCTTAGCTGATGGCCTTCCTCCTTAGTTCACCAGAAAATAGTCGCTCCCAGCCATATTCTGCTGCCACAGCCACAAGCGCTCGTGCGCCCCTTCCCTGCCTTCCGCTTAGCTCTGGACGCCTCTCTCTGGCTCTCCCCTCCTTCCGCTTTTTCCCCTCCCCTCCCCTCCCCAGGGCTCACAGCTCGCCCCTCTCTGCACTCATCTGCAGGTGATCTCGGCCAGTCCCGTGACTTGAAGGACCATCAGAACACCGGGCGCTCCCTCCAGCCTGGCACTCTCCCCTAAGTCCAGACACACCCCTCCGACCCGCCATGCAACAGCTTCCCTTGGAGATTCTGTGTAAAGCGGGTCCAAAATAATCCTACCTGCCCAGATCCCTTCCAGTCTGCTCTATTGTTTCTTTGCACTTTTGCAAAGGCTTTATCTGCCTTTGCACAACCACCTGCGCCTGCAACTCTTCTTCTTCTCTGGACCACGTGCCAACAGCCCTTTGCCTATGCGCTCAGAGCATCAGGAGTGCCTGGGAGCTTACGTTCCCCGGGGCAGCCTCTAGTCGACGACTGACTAGTGCAGGACACTCAGAGATGTAACTCATGCTCAGGGCTCCCCGTGGGGTCCGGCGACAGGTGCCCTCGCAGCCCTGCTTCCTCGGCTCCTCTCTCTCTTTCATGTTGCGTGTGGAATCCATCAGGTCAGCTCCATCTTCAAATTATACCCAGAATCTGCACGCTTTTCATCACCATCACCAAGACCGCCTGAGTCCAAGTCTGCCATCAGCATGTGCCCGGACCAGTGCAGTAGCCTCCTCATTAGTCTCTCTGCCTTTGCCTTTGCATCGTGTAGTCTCTTTGCACACAGCAGCCAGAGGGCTCTGAGCATGCATAAGAGACTGGGAAACTAAATGCTGGTGTATACTAATATACTATTAAAAATTGCTAACGCCAACGGGGCTGGCCCGGTGGCGCAAGCAGTTAAGTGTGTGCGCTCTGCCGCAGTGGCCCGGGGTTCGCCGGTTCGGATCCCGGGCGCACACCGATGCACCACTTGTCAGGCCATGCTGTGGCAGTGTCCCATATAAAGTGGAGGAAGATGGGCACGGATGTTAGCCCAGGGCTGATCTTCCTCACACACACACAAAAAAATTGCTAACACCATGCATTTCCCCAGGCCAGGCACTGTGCTAATCTCTGTATGTTCATGCAGCTGTTCCAGGCGGTATACTGAGTGCCCGCTGTGCACCAGGCACTCTGCCCCGGCTGCGATAAGGTGGTAAAGAAGAGGTAAGCTCTGTCAGCTGACATGCTGGCTGAGCAGGCTGACCATGAGCAAGTGAATATCCAAATAAATAATTACAGATTGTGACAAGTGCTGTGAAGAAAATAAAGGCGATGTGCTTGTCACCAAGAGAGGCCAACTTTAGATGAGCAGGGACGGCTTCCTGGAGGAGGTGACCCCTGAGCCGAAAGCAGAAGGATGAGGAGCTAGCCGTGCAAAGAGCTGGAGGGCGTTTCAGGCACCGGCACTGCGGCCAGCGTGGTGGATGAGTCAGCAGGGGGAGGGAGGGGGCCCATGGAGCAGGGCCTGTGGGAAGCAGTGAGGACTTTGGCTTTTACTCTGAGTAAGGTGGGAGCCATGGAGGGTTCTTGAGCAGAGAAGGGGCGTGAACTCAGGTTCACAGGCATCCTTCTGTGCCTGTGGGGGTAACTTTGGGCCCTCCAGGACCAGTTCAACTGACCCCATCCTATCAACAGAGTAATTAAGAGTGGTCTTTCAGGAACTGAGAAATGACCCCTTATCCAGTTCAAGCCAGTTGAGGCCACCAACCCATCTACTGGGCCTACGCAAATGCCTGAGAAGTGACCCTTTTGATGTCAAGGGGCTGAAAACTCCACCCTCAGACCATGCTAACGCCACCATTTTGTGAACATGCGTCCTAGGAAGAGCCACGGAGCTTGACTACGCTTGTGCAGATCATCAGTTACCTCACCTCTGCTCTCCTCCAACCATCCATCTCCACACTTCAGACAGCCCCGCCCTTCATCCCATAAATTGTGCCCCAAATCCTGAATCGGGAAGACAGATCTGAGAGCATATGTCCTGTCTCCTTGCAGATCCATCTCACAATAAAGCTGGTGTCTTTTCCCCAAAGCTGATGCCTGAATAATTGGCTTTTTTTTATGTGCATTGGGTAGGGCAACCCCATCTTTGTGCGGTAACGGGGAACAACAGAAGAGGGGAGAGAATGGCGGGAGCCAGGGACCAGGGCAAGAGACTGCATTGGTCCAGGTGAGTGATAATGGGGGCTGGGAGCTGAAATATGGGGAGAAATGGGCAGATTTAGGAGCTATTTTGGAGGCAGGGCTAACAGGAGCTGGGGGTAAGGAAAAGAACTAACTTAAACGATCGAGGCGAACAAGGGAACCCAGAGAGCATTAGTACAGGCTATAGGATGAGGGCTTTGGGGTCAAGGAGACCCGGATTCAAATAGCTTCTCGGCCGCTTTCCCGCTGGGCAACCTTTAGACACATCGCCCAACCACCTCCCTGTCTTACTTTCCTCCTCAGCAAAATGAGGAGGGTCATAGAAGCGGGGTATGGTGCTCAGATAGGAAGGATCAAAAGAGTGGCTATTGAAGAAAAATTGCCGGGGGCGGGGATGTAGCGGGGAGAAAGGCAGTTAACACGGTGGGGCACCAGGGGGCAGCAGCGAGCCTCCGGGCTGCAGGGCGGGGCGCGGCTTTGCAGCTTGGCAGGTTCCAAGCGGCTGGACTCGACCGTGGCGCCTCAGGTGCCTGGGCCCGGGGACAGAGCAGGCCTGGGGGCACGTGTCCAGGCCGTGTGACCGAGGAGGTGGGCGGCCCTCACCGCCTTCTGAAGTCTGGGGATCAGACCCTAACAATGGGCAATTGTTCAGGAGAAACCTGAACCGCCTGCACGGTGGAATTCAGGCGGAGCTGGGCTAGCAGACAGGGCTTCCTGCCCTCCCTCCCTCTCCTGGGGGAGTGGCCCCGGCTCGGCTCAGAGGATCTCCGGGCAGTTGAGGCTGGGGCTCGCCCTCGCGGCCTCCCACTCCCCCACAAACACTCCAGGCGCGAACTCTGTTCAATAGGCACTTTATTAGTTGTTGGAATGCAGTTACACGCAGGGCTGTGTGGACAGAGCGGGGCAGGAGGGCTGGCGGCACGCACAGGAGACGCACGCAGGCCCCAGGCTGGGATTTCTCCCTCTCGGGAATCCTGGAACGGTGCTGATGAGCAGAGACACGAAGTCGGGTGGCCTTGGGATACGGCGGAGGGGGAACCGGCAGACCGGGTCCCCAGAGTTCAACAAGTTTGGCAAAAGGATCCTCAAGGCGAGGTGGCTGGGAAGGGGGGCCCGACTTGCTCCGGCACCGACCTCCCATCCCTTCCCTGAAATTGTCCCCTGGGTGGATTCAGTTTCTTGTCTCTCCTACACAGAGTTGTGTCAATAACTAGCAGAGGAAGGGGGAAATTCGGCCCCATTCTTCCAGCCAGCCAGCCAGCCAGCCAGCAGGTTTCCATTAAGCAGCCATTAGCCGTCTCCTCCCTCCTGCTCTGGTCTGTCCACGCTGCCTGCTCCCAGCTGCCCTCCTCCCCAGTCTCCCCCTCTTCTGCTCCCAGGCCAGGAGACACCCTTACCTGGGCGCACACGTTCCCACCCCAGCCACGAAGGCACTCCTCAGCGGCCCCATCTCGACTGTGGCGATAGACAGAAAAAAGCTAATAGACCCTTTAATGCATGTCCAGGTTAAAAAATATATAAAGAAATGCACGTGGCAGCCCGTGAGCCAGTCCTTCAGCCGCAGAGAAGGGGCTGGGGCCCGGCAGGAGCAGATGCAAATGAACGGGGGCCTTGGGGGCTGGATCTTCCTGCAGCCACCGCTCCCACAGACACAGACGCTGTCCCGTCGGAAGAGGGGAACAGAAGGCGTGAGGCAGCCCACAGAGGTGGCCCCATCGCCCGCCAGACATCTAGAAGCTGCTCCGGACTTCTTCCCATGCGGGCCAGGGAGGGCTGGAGTGACCTGCTGTGCAGTCTTGGGGGGCTGCCTTGAAAAATATGACTGCCCCTTGGCGTGGGGAGGAATGCCCCAGATCCTTCAGGTCCCTGGAAACTGGTGGTAACTGGACATCGGGGGGCCGAGGGCGGCAGTGATAGGGCTTCGGGCAAGCCCAGTGAGCTGGGGGTTCTGCCCCAGCTGCTGAGTGCCCGGTGTGCAGTGTTCCAGGGAAGGTGTGGGAGGCCAGGGCCGCTACTTGTTCGTCTTGTTCAAGACCTTCTTGAGGTTGGAAGACATGAAGTAGGGCCTCTCAGCCGAGCCGTCATTCCTCTCCAGGTCCTCCACTGCAGAGAGAGGCCCCAGAGCAGGCGGCATGAGGGGAGCCCACAGCAGGGGCTCCGGGGACAGGGCGTGCGGACGGGCCACAGAGAAGCCTCAGAGGGTTAGGAAGCTAGACACACCGAGATCGGAGGGAGGCAGACTGAAGTGGGCTCGGGAATGGGACACGCACGCTCCCCACTCCCGGGCAAGGAGGCCCCCATGCACCCCCCGTCTACAGGGAGGAGACGAGGAGGCCTGTCTGGGCCCCCGGCCAGCCTCCCTCCTTCTCTACTCCTCGGCTTCTACCCGCTTCCCCTCCTCCGCACTCCCCTTCAACAGGATGTCTCTCAGCTCGGGCGACATGAAGTAGGGTCGCTCCTGAGAGCCGTCATTCCTTTCCAGGTCCTCACCTGGGCTCCCCCCAGGAACCGGCAGGGGGAAAACGGGGTGGTCAGGAAGGGAGGGAGAGGGAGGCAGGGAAGAACAGGGAAGCCAGCAGGCACGGAGGAGAGGAAGAAAAAAGAGAACAAAGAGACAGACAGATGGAGAGACCAGAGTTAGTGGCAGCCACAGAACCCCCCAACAAAGCCAGAAACTCCGAAGCCGAGGGCCCAGGGCAGAGCATTCCCCACTGCAGCCTGGCAGGGGACACAAGGATGGAGCAGCGCCGAGCGCAGGGAGGAAGCCGAGAGGGCATGCCGGGGCCCTAGGATGAGGGACAGCCAGTCCCCGGGGAGGCTGAGGGCACCCGGAAGGTGAATACGGAGCCCCCCTCGGAGGGAGATGCTCTGCCCAGCGGGAGGAAGGGAGTCAGGGCCCGGCAAGGGTCGGGGTGAGGGGTCACTCACAGAAGCAGAGGAACAACGTGTCCACACACATGCCGTAGACGCTGAAGAAGCCGTGAGCAATCAGGTAGGAGCCAACGATGACCGTCTGGGCAAGGAGAGATGAGCTGTCTCCACCCCAGCGCCTGCTCAGGGCAACCCCCCGCCCACCACGTGCCTCCCAGACTGGGCTCACATCATTCCCCTGCTGATAAGCCCTCCTGAGAACAACATCTGACCTCCTGCCATCCACTCCTACCTCTCTTCAACCCCAGGACCTTTGCACATGCTGCTTCCCTGACTTAGTCTAATTTGCACCTCCTCATCCTTCTGCTTTCAGCTCAAACATCAAGTCCTCAGGGACCACCTCCTCCAAGAAGCCACCTCTGACATCTAGACCATTTTATGCTCTCCTAACACCACATACCCCTCCTCTGAGGACTTAGTCCAGCTGCAATTTTATGCATGTTTAGAGCATTACAGGTTTAATGCCCACATCCACCTAGACTATGTCTGCCCCCTTTACTGCTGCAACATGGAGACTCACAGGGCCTTGGTAGGAACCTGATAAACATTTAGGGACCAAAGTGAGTGGACCTTAGAGAGATTAAATAACTCATCCCAAGTTACTCATCTTAGAACTAGCAAATAAAGAACAAAGATAAAAACCTGGGTCATTGGGCTCCAAGGCGTGCACTCAGATATCACACTGCTCTTAGGGTGTTGACCTAACCCCACCATGGCCCTGTCACCTCCCTGCCCTCATCTCCACCTCCTCCGCGCTTTGCTCCCTCCACACCAGCCACACTGGTTTCCTCACTGTTCCCAGCATGGTCCTGCCTCAGGGCTTCTATACTTGTTCCCTCTGCCTGGATGTCGCCTGCATCCCTTTCAGATCTTAGATCTGACGTCACTTCCACAAGGAAGCCGCCTGGACTCCCAGACCTGCCCAGATCCTCCACCACAGGCTGGAACAGTTCCCTGTAATTCTGCCCCATGGCACGTACAGTTTGCAATCGCACATCCACCCATATCCTTATTGATTAATGTCTATTTATCTCTAAACTGTAAGGCCTGTAGAGGGGAGCCGCCCTCCCCGTGTCTGTTACACAGTGGGTGCTTCATAACTGTCTGCAGACTAAATAATCAAATCAACCCTCATCTCTGACCCCCATCCACGTCTGTCCAGTCAAAGGAGGCCAGGCGAGTTCCAACACCTCCTTCTCCCTGGACCCTCGCCCGTCCCCAAGGTCCGTACCAGTATAGGAACCCAGTAATAATTCAGGGGAGGTGCTGTGTCCTGCACGATCCTGATACGGTGGGTGAAGAAGAAGAAAGCCAAGATGCCTGGAAGAGGGAAGGAAACCGAGATGGTTGAGGGTTCTGACTAAAGGAAGTACCCTCTCCCTGGCTCCAAGAAGACCCCCAGAGAAGATGACACTCATCACAGAAGACATGGGGGCCCAGGAGAAGTTCACAAGTCCACCCAACAGGCTCCCACAGCCCCACAGGCTGGGTGAGCGGCACTCACCCACACTCCCCACGATAAGAAGCTTGCCCAACAGGAAGAGGAAGTCAGTGACTTTGTCCAGGACGGCAACTCTGCAGGGGAGGGTGAGAGGCAGGTGTGAATGCTGGCTCAGGGGCGGGGAGTGGAGGGGGGAGGCGAGAGGATGGTGTTTCCCCCGACCTGATGATGTTTCTCATGAGCAGGAAGAAGGCGTTCCTGGCCGAGGTGCAGAAGTTGGTGCCGTAGACGGCAATCTGCGGGGAGCGGGGAGGGAGGGGTCAGGCCCCGCGGGTGGGAACGCGGGCTCCTCCCGCGCAGCAGGAGTTGCTGGGTTGGTCTCATCCGGGGCCTGCTCACCATGATGTAGGCATTCCGGTTGAGGAATCTGATGAACTTCTCCAGACACCAGAAGCAGCATTTGAGACAGGTCATAAGGAACTTGGCAAACTTGTTCTTTGCAGCTAGGAGAGAAGGGAGGGATGCAGAGGTGAGGGGAGACCCCGCCCAGCCTGGGAGGGACCCCCACCTCCTCATCACACGCACTTGCCACAGTCCAGGACTCCCAGAGCCCACCTTCTCAAAAAGACGGGAGAGGAGACTTGATCCAGGACCCTCGGGGCGCTGCCCCACACCCAAGTAGGAACCAACCCAGCCCAGGATCCTCAGGCCCGCCCCCACCCAAGGACCCAATCTTGGAGCCTTTCAGCCCAGCCTCCAAGGTAGGAACCAATCACAACACGCACTGCTGCCATGTCCCCGCCTCCCAAGCAGAAGCCAATCCGTGCCGCCTGCTTGGCCACACCCCCAAAGTACAACCAATCCCAGCCCCACAGCCCCTCCTCCGCAAAGAAGGAAACAGTCTTAGCCCCGCCCTCCTGAGCATAAATCCCAGCCCAGCCCTCTTCAAGAACCAATGGTGGCCCAGGGCTCTTGGCCACGCCCCCTCAGTGGTGAGAATTCCGCCCAATGGGCACTCAGCTGCTCCTCCATCGCAGGAATCAATCACCCAAGTGCCTCAGATCCACTCTCTCCTCCCCATAGTCAGAAACCAATCACTGTTCCGTCACCTCAGCCCCGCCCCAAGCAAGAACCAATCCCAGCCCGCCCCTCAGCCCCGCCCAATGGCAGCAGCGGGTAGGCCACACCTTTCAGGCGCTGATCCAAATACTCCAGGATCACTCGGATGATCTGCACGATGGCCAGAATGAGGGAGCCAAAGGCCAGGGAGCCCGTGTGGTACCTACGGGCCGAGGACATAGTCAGGCCTCCTCCACCCCATGTCGCCCCCACCCCCAGCCCACCCTGGGCCCCACCTGAGCGCCCGGCCGAAGGAGGAGAAGAGCGGGAAGGCAGGCAGGTCGTCCGGCTTGCTGAAGGCCCAGTAGTAGGAGGCGAAGGCCCCGGCCAGCGTGACCTGGCCCAGGGCCAGCACGAAGTTGGCCAGCCAGAAGAACATGAAGAGGTTGAAGATCTGCAGGCCCAGCAGGGCGCGGTGGTAGCCCGACTCGCCGCCGTAGAAGGCGAACTGGCAGTGGGCGTCCGGGCACAGACGGGATTCGTTGGAGGAGGGGAAGGTCTGTGGGAGAGACGCAGAGCCGGTCACAACATAGGGGCCAGCGGTTCAGAGTGCGCTCTGGGCATCAGGTGCGGGTCAGGTAGACCATGGGGTGGGACAGGAGGCATGGGGATCGGAGTTAAGTCAAGGGATTGCGGGTTCAAAATAGGGGCTTATGAGAGGGATTCTAGAAGCAAGAGTTGGGATTGTTGACTTGATGGGTGTCAGTGAAGGAGGATAAGCTACCCTGGGGCTCAGGATGGGGTCGTGTGTCAGTGGAGTGGCCAGGTGGACAGGACAGGAGTGGCAGAGATCAGTATGAGGACCACAAGAGTCCAGATAGGGGCTTGTGAAAGGCAAAGAAGGGGTTCTGGAAGCAGGAACTGGCCATCATGGGGTTATGAGAGGGGTGTGGGGTCAGGAAATGATGTTGGGGGAAGAAAGGTGGGTGGTTCAGTGCTACGGGGGGAGGGGGCTGCCAAGTTGGGTCTCTTCCCCTCCATACCCCCCCTCCCATCCAGCACAGGGCATACAGCAGGCGCCAAATGTTTGTTGAATGGTCCCCAAGTGGGGATGAGAGGTTTCAGATCGTCTGTGGGCTGCTGGGGAAACAGCCACCCACCCACCTCTGGACACCCACCTCAGGGTTGCATGTTTTCCCAGCAAGGGGGCAGGCACTCTCAGCAGTGAGGATCTTATAGACGGCTTCGTTGGACGTGGACAGGAAGCTGGAGGCTTGTCAAGGAATCCGAGGTCTGGGATTAGGGACCCCAGGGGCTTGTGGGAAAGGATCCATTCCCCCACCAGGTTCTGACCCCACCCCCAAGCTGCGGCTCTTCCAGGTAAGCTTGGCCCTTAGCCACCCCCGGGGTCGGGGACTGGGGTCTGACGGTGGATACACAGCAGTGCTGGCCCAGTAGGCGATGCAGAGGCAGAGCAGGAAGAAGGTGACCAGCGGGTACAGCATGGAGCACATGACGTATCCCACGGCCCTGGGGAGGAGAAGGGACACAGGCCTCAGGGCCCGAGCAGCCCTGGGACCACCCCAGCCCGACGCCCTGGCACCCCGGCACCCACCTGCTGGCTTCTTTGATGAGTGCAATGGCAATGAGGATTCTCTTCCGTAGGAAGATGAGCAGCAAGATGATAATCACCTCCAGGATGCTCAGAATTATCACTGCAGGGGGCAGAGGGTGGCCGAGTCGGCCAGCTGCCTGGGCTCCCCGCTCCCTCCCAGGCCTCCCTGGGGGCAGGATTGGGGGGCTGGGACTCACTGAAGGCCATCCAGGTCTGCCGCAGGTGCAGGTACACACGGAGGTCTGTCTGGAAGCCCAGGTCCACCAGGGAGATGTCGGAGCCAGCCTCACCACGCAGTCGGGCGTACTCCATGTAGCAGTGAAATATTCCTGCACGGCAGAACCACTAGGCTAACACTGACCTCAGAGGTTACAAAGCAGGTCCAACCACCCCCATTTACCAGAAGCAAAAACCGAGGCTCAGAGGGGCTGCTGTTGCTTTCTGCCGCCCTAGGACCTTTGCACTTGCTGTACCCACTTCCTGGTATGTTCTCTCCCCAACTGGATCCCTCACATCCTCCAGTCTCTGCTCAAATATCACCTTCTCATAAAACCTTCCATGGGCCGGCCCAGTGGCTTGGCGGTTAAGTGCGCGCGCTCGGCTGCTGGCGGCCCGGGTTTGGATCCCGGGCGCGCACCGATGCACCGCTTCTCTGGCCATGCTGAGGCCGCGTCCCACATACAGAAACTAGAATGAGGTGCAGCTATGACATACAACTATCTACTAGGGCTTTGGGGGGGAAAAAATAACTAAAATAAAGTCTTTAAAAAAAAAAACAAAACCCTCCAGATCCCCTTCCCCCCAGAGGAATCACACCCTCTCACACTCCAACTTCAGATCCCCACTCTCTGGTTTAACATCCTCAAGAGTTTTCTGGTTTATTTATTTCTTGGCCATCTTGCCCACACCCCCAGGAATATAAGTCCCACAAGAGCAAAGATGTATCCTGTTTTATTCATTGCTATAAGCCCAAGACTTAAAAAACTGCCCAGGACACAGTAAGCACTCAACACGTTTGATGAATGAATGAATGAGTGAATGAATGAATGAATAGGTATCAGGATGCTGTGTGGCCTGAGGCTTTCCTCTGACCCCCTTGCCACTTTGTAACAATAATTCATGGGTGGAGAGGGAGAATGTGGGTGTTAACATTCAGTGGGGTAACATTAGGGATTTTCAGCATTCTTAGCTTTTTGTGGAATAAAATTGCAAAATATGTATAAAGTAAAAAAAAAAAGCTAGTCACCTAAAACGCCAGCACCCAGCTAGAAACCACTATTAACAGGAATATTTTAATATCTGTGTCCTCAGACTGGGTGGCATATCAGGCATCTTTTCTCCTGGAAAGTTTGAGTCATCAGAATATGAAATACTGGGTTTTGAGCACTGCCTCTGGCTTCCACAGCCCTCCTCCCATCTCATCCTCACACTGTCTTCTTCTCATAAGCCTCCTAACCAGTAAATACTAATTATCCCCATTTCATAGAGGAAGAAATTAAGGCACAGAGAGGTTGAGTCACTGGCCCAAGCTCACAGAGCAAGGAATTGGCAGAGCCAGCATTTGAATTCCCGGCTTTCTGGTGCCAGAGCATTCTTAACCACCGTGCTAAAGTAGTCAACTTGAGAATGCCTTTTGATGGCGATCAAATCCAGATCCAGGCCCCAGTATGGAAGACTATGATTAACCCATCCCCAATCGGTGAGCACTGAGGTTGTTTCCAAGCATCTGCTCTCATAAACAACACTGCGATGAACATCTTCACAAACACGCCCTAGTAAAAGATGGGGGCTGTCTGATGGCTCAGGAAAAGATTCTCGGGGCCACAGCAAGGTCAAAGAGCACGGGCATTTTGCAGACCGTGGGGAGGGGAGGGCACAGGGAGGGGAGGGCACAGGGAGGGGAGACGCACCGTAGCCCAGCACAAGAATCACCATGACGATCATCACCCAGACCATAATGCCAGCCAGGAAGCGGAGCAGGATGATGAAGAGGAGGCTCAACACCATGGCGATGACCAGGCCTCTGGGGGATAAAAGGGGGGCGTGAGCGGACCCCACCCTCTCACCAGCCTCAGCCTGCGCAGCCCGGGAGAGCCACCCTCACGCCCAACTTACATGACAATCCAGTACCAGGAGACTGTGTAATCTTCAAAGATCCGCATGGCCAGCTGTCTCGCCTCCAGCACCACGTTGGCCTTCCTGGGGGAAGGCGGACATGGCTTGTGTCAGACCCCCTCCCCGATCGGGTCAGCCCCCGGGGATGCCCGTCCCACCCAGGAAAGCGCGACACCAGTGCGGTGGGCCACCATGCTCACTTAGCGCCCTCTACCAGCTCCGTGATGTTCTTCCAAGAGCCTTGCCCGTTCTCATATGTCGTCTCGTTGCCCACCATGAGGACCCCCTTGTGGGTGCGGATGGCTGGGAAGCATCGCCGGGCCACTGCAGGAGCAGGGGACGCGACAGTCAGGCTGAGCCCCTGCGAGCTCCCCACGCCCCACCCGAGCTCACGGGGCCCCAGACTCACGGGGTGTGCTGGGAACGATGACAGCGGGACAGTCGCCATCCCGAAGCATCTCAGTCACACCCTGCAGAGAGAGAGGAGGGAGGTGGGTTAATCCCCCACGCCGCATCCTCCACCCGCCCCTGCTGGGCTCCCACGGCAGCCACCCGCTCACCTTGGTGTTCTGGACGCCGGGCACACAGAACTGCTTGTAGTACTCGAGGTCTGGGGATTTGTGGGCCCTCAGGAGGGTGAGGAACCTGTCGGGGCATTTCTCCACGCAGATCTGGGGGGCAGGAGGCAGGGGTTGGGGGGTCAAGGCAGACGCTCGATCCCCACTCAGGACGGAGGTCCCGCCTCCCGTTCACCAGGGAAAGAGAAACGGCTGCGAGAGAGAAGCTGTCACCAGAGGAGGAAAAGGACCTGGTGATGGGAAGCCGGGACAGCGAACAGGATGGGGAGGGGACAAGTTACCTGCGGGGTGGGACACTGGAATTCCAGCAGGACCAGGGGACTGGCACACTTCACAATGTTGAAATAAAACAGGTAGGGTTTGTTCCTGAGGTGGGGAAGGGAGATGGAAACTCTCAAGACTTCTCAACGACCCTATATAAAATATCTTAACAAAAACAATAACAACAACAATAATAATAACTATAGCAGCAGCAATTCCCTGCCAGGCGCTGTTCTAAGCTCTGCACACATATTGGCTTGTCTAACCATCACAACAGCCTCATGAGTGTGGGACTTATGATCTGCATTTTAGAGATGAGGAGAATGAGGCCCAGAGAGGTTCGAGTGTGACCCACTAACCCTAGGTCACACAGCCAGGGAGTGGCACAGCAGGATGAAAACTCCCTCTGCTACTGCACCTATTTGTCACCACCTGACACCAGCTCCCACACTGTCTCTTCTCTATCTCTCCCCTAAAATGTGGGCCGCCACAGGATAAGACTCTCAATGTCTCACTTAGTGCAGCACCCCCAAGCCCTAGAACAGCGCCTGGGGATGATGAGAGTGTTGCAATTATTTGTTGACTGGCCTAATGGATGGATGGAGGTAGGAGACGCCTAGAATCTTCTCCCCAGTGCTCACAAAGCCCTCCTGTCCACTCCTCCCCGGCCCCACCAGGCCCCAAGGAGCCAGACTCACGCATTTTTCGTGCCCTTCTGCCCGCAGAACTCGCCTCGGCTGTCCGTGGGGTAGATCACCTTTCGAGGGTCCCCATGGGTCCAAGCTGTGGAGGGATCCGGGGACGTTGTGGCAATGCCACTTCCCAGCACCAGCCCCACTCCTGCCCCAGACGCTGTGGCTCAAAACCCCAAGTCCTGTGCCCTCCTCCACTCACCTATCATGCCTACAGCCACGTAGCCCACGATGGCCAGGAGGAGGAAGACACAGCAAATGACATCTGTGCAGCCCCTGAGGAGCAAGGGACAGCATCAGGGTGGGACCTGGTGCCCTGGGATCATGGACCCATCCTGCCCTGCACACACACCCACATCCATGCGTTACTTGGACCCATGTTCTCGAGTGATGTGAATGCTATACCAAAGGGCATGAGCATTTTATATTCTAATATCTAATGCTACACTGTCCTCGAAGCAGGTTGGAGCAATGTCCAGCTCTCTTTTGATTGAGAGTGCCCATGTCCTCACATCTTTACCAGCATTACGTATTAATGTTTTTTTTTTTTAATTTAAACTATTGTTATTATCATAAGATTAAATACCAACATGGTAAAAATTAAAACCACCTGGAATGTATATAATAAAGAAATAAGTCTCCCACACAAACCCCTGCCCGTAAGTAACCTCTGTTAATGATTTCTTGTGAGTCCTTAGGGTCATTTATTAGGTACAAAGGTTTCAAAAAAAATTTTTTAACTTGTTTGGTTATGATACACCCACTGTTTGATTATGATACACGCACTGTTGTGTCTTGCTTTTTTCACTTAATGTATTGAGAAGGATCCACGTCACTAATTGGAAGGGCTCTTTTCAATTTTAATAGCTGTGTATTATTACAACCTAAGGATGCACTGTAATTTATCAAACTAGTTCCAAGGGATGGATATTCAAATCGTTGGTTTTCACCAGTTCCAAAAAGGCCGCAACATCATGCATTTTTGTCCTTGTGTGCAAGGTTTATTGGGAGAATTTTTTTCCCAAGAATTTAAATTTTTGGAACAAAGAGATGCACATTCAAAAAAATCCCTATTTCCAAATTCCCCCCCCCCAAAAAAACTGCACCAATTAGTTTCAGAGCAGAAGAGGTGTCAATCTTTTTAACCTTTGCTAATCTGTGATGGGGAAATTTCTACTCAGCTATTAAGTTACATTCCTTTACTTTGCAGTGAGTTAGAGCGTTTTGCCATGATTTCATTGTCTACAGTACTTCTTGTTCTGGAAACGGTCTGTTCCAGTCTTTTGCCTGAATTAAAAAAATCCATTTGTAAGGACTTGTATATCAAGGAAATTCGTCCTTTTATCGTCAACTTACACATAAGTATCACTAGTTTGTTGGAGAACAGATAGGGAGGGTGGGGGCAGTATTAACAGAGACTCCCCCCTCCGCCCTCAGGAACCCAGAGGCCTTACCTGTTGTAAATGGGTCCTTTGAAGGTGGGGTCATACTTTTGTGGCGTTCCTGCAAATCAGCAAGATTGAGCCGGGCGGACCAAGAAGGGGCTGGGAGACCACCCACGCCCAGATGCACCCAAAGAGCTGTCTTTGGCCACGGGGGGAGTGAGAGTTAGGGACCTCGCGGATTTTCGCCTCAGCCCACCTCCAGGCGACCACACCCAAGCCCCCAAGGAGAGCAAGCCGGCGGAGGGGGAGTCGCAAATCGTGACCAGCCCGACTGTCTACCTGGCGGGCCCCCCGGGGGAGGGGGCCTGACGGCAGCCGCCAGGGAGCCAGGCGGGGAGGGGAGGGTCCACGGTGGGATGTGGGGAGACGATTCCCGCAGGAGCCCTGGGGAGGGGGCTCCCAGGACAGGCCCCTCGCGCGCAGCGGTTTGCAGGGACTTCGGGCCAGGGCTGGGGTGAGGGGTCTTAGCCCGCGACGGTGGGGCCACAGGCCGAGATCTGCGATTGCGCTCCCCCACTGCCCCCCGCCCCGGGGCCGGGGCTCTGCCTACCGTGCTGCCCGTAGTAATGCAGCCGCTCGTCCCCCATCCCCGCGGCCCCTGCGCGCTCGGTGCGGCGGGACCCACGGAGGCTCCTCCCCGCAGAGCCGGGCGGGGCGGCCCAAACCAGTCAGACCGGCCGGCCCAGGCGCCGCGGACGGACGGACGGACGGTCAGGGGGAGGGAGGAGGGCCGGGCGGGGCGCAGCTGCTCCCGCCACTCACCGGCCGCCCGATTTAGCCCTCCCCGCCCCCCCAGCCCCAACCCCGGACTCTCGGTGGCTGCACCCTGAGGCCGGCCCACGTCCCCACCCGCCCCCCTCCCCGGCGACGCCGCCCAGAACACCTCTCCACCCTGGCCGGGCGCCTGACATCGCCCCATTCTCCAGGGATGGAAACTGAGGCACAGGGAGGTACATCTCTAGCCGGGCGCCGCAAAACCGACAGATGGCTGAGTCCAAGCACCCAATTATAGAGGCTTTGAGCTGCAGACTCGCAAACCAGCAGCCCAGGTTTATTTTGGTCCGCACTTTTTAAACATTAAATGCAGACAGTTAAATATTGGGAGAGTCTCTATAAAAATCCACAGGGCTGCTCTCTTGGAAAGTGGCAGATGGGGGCTGGCAGCTGCCAGGCCACATCCCTAGGGGCGCTGCCCCCAACTGGTCCCTTGGTGGCCCCCAAGGCTGCACACCTGAGTTCGCCATCCATTCACACTCTCACAATCCTGAAGCCTGAAGCCATTGTTTTCTAGAACAAGTATTTAGCGCCAGCTGGGAGCAGGCCTGGGCTGGGCTGGGAGAGAGACCCAGCTTTGCGGGTCACTGCGTGTGGAGCCGACATCCTACTGGGTGGCCCTGGACTCAAATGTTCCCTCGGTCCCATGGGAGCCAGAGGACACTCAGCCCAGCAACGTGCCTTCCTGAGCCTCAGTTTCCCCACCTGGGCTAAAATCTAACACCAAAACTGGCCTTAAAGACCAGCCACAGGATACCAGGAGGTATACAGTTGGCACAGGGGTGTACAGTTGGCACGGAGGTACTGTATGGTCAGCGTAGGGGTGTCCAGCAGATATGGGGGTACACAGTAGGTTTGAGGGTACCGCCAGCAGGGGGCCTGCAGTCCGAGTGGCATCCTACAGTCGGTGTGGAGGCATTCAGGCGACACGGAGGTACACAATTGCCGTGGGGGGTTTAATCAGTGTGGGGTATGCAGCAGGCGTGGGGGTATACAGCTGGTGGGCGGCATTCAGTTAGCATGGAATTGTACAAGTGTGGGGGTATACAATTGGCATGGGGTACACAGTCAGCTGGCTGTACCCCCACACCAATCATCCACCCCCATGCCAACTGTATACTCCCTCGATTATGTGCCTGTTCTTGCATCTCCCAACAGTCCTCGGGGCCAGCTGTATACTTCATGGTACAGCCAGCTGTGCAGTGGACGTGGCATTATACAGTAGGGGTGGGGTGTAGTCAGCAGGCACAGATACTCAGTGTGGAGCATCAGGCAGCACAGGTTGTACGGTGACGTCATATACAGGTGGCGCTCAATAATTGTAGCTGCTGCCTCAGAGTCGAGCACCGTCCTCCCCCCTCAGGTCTCGGGTCACTAACGCAGCTTGTCCCTAAGGAACCGCCACCTCCCCACAGTGGCCTTCAGCTGTGGAGGCCCCGCCTGGCCCCTGGCCCACAGGCTTCAGCAAACAGGCGACACTAAGGCTCCAAGCCGTGCCCTTGGGTGACCAGGTGTCCCAAGGAAACCCTGCAGTTCCCGCGGGCCCTGCCAGCCCGAAGGATGGCAGCGGGTCCCTCCCACCCAGTCCAGGCGGTGCCCAGGGAGCAGCCTCTTCTCTTCCCAGATCCACTAGGTCCCCTGGGGTCACTCCTGCAGACTCAGCACTTCAGCCACCAGCTTCACCCTGATGGTTCCCAAATGTGGGGCCCTGGGGAGGGCCTCGCCCCCAAGCTGCACCCCCAGCGCCGCACACCCAGCACAGCCACATCCAAGCCCCTGATAGTCACGCAAGCTGCCTCGACTCAGAAACGGCAGCTCTGTTCCCCTCACAGCAGCCAGAGGAGCCCGTGAACACCTGAGTCAGGTACATCCCTCCTCTGGCTAGAACCCTCCATGGCTCCCACCTCCCTAGGAGGAAAGGCCCAATGTTTCCCCATGACCCACAAGGCCCTGACGCTCTGCCTCGCCCCCTCCCTGCCCTCACCTCCTCCCTTTCTCTCCTTCGCTTGCTCCGTTCCAGCCTCCTCACCAGGCACAGCCTCGCCTCAGGACCTTTGCACTGGCTGTTCCCTGCGCCTAGAAAGCTCTTCCCCAAGATGTCCATGTGGCTCCACCCACTTCACGCCTCTGCTCAAACATCACCTCCTCCAAGAGGCTTTCTCTGACCATCCTTTCTAAAACAGCACCCCTTTACCCTCTACTCCATCATCCTATTTGATGGATTATATTGTTTATCGTCTGCCCCCTTGCCTGTTCTGTTTTGTTCACAGCTGTGTCCCCAGGACCCGGCATGGCGCCCGCCATAGAACAGGCCCTCCATAAGTGTTTGTCGAGTGAATAACCAAAATATATAATCCACATATATAGAGCTGAGTCTGAAAATTAAAATGCAGCTTAGCGTTTTCTAGGTGAGCATATTTAACAAATGTGAATGTAATACACGATAAGTGTGGAATTTCCAGTTGGCAGAGAAAGAATAAATTGGTCCGTAGCCTTGACAGTGCCTTTGGAAGAAAACAAAGTTAACTCCACCCCCAACACATAGCAAAATAAATTCCACATGGATTAATCATGCAAATATATAAAACCTCAAAACTATTGCAAGTATGAAGGGAAAACTCAAGAGCATATTTCTACCATCTGAGAGGAGGTGAGACCGGTAAGGTGGGTGGAGAGGGAAGGGAGCACCAGAATTTTCTCGTGTCAGCTGAATGGCAGCCAGACGGGCAGAGTGAAGCAGCCACAGAAGAAGGGCTGGTGCTGCCCAGGAGTACTGTTCAGACCCTGGCTTCGTGCTCTTCACCATACAGGAGGTCCTCTCATCAACCCATTTTACAGCAGAGGAAAGTGAGGCTCTGGAAGGGCAAGCTGCTTGCGCAGTCGCCTAGCAACAAGCGATCGTCCCTACACCAAGTTTGATGGGTGAGTGGGAGCCACTGAGGGTGTTTGAGCAGGAGCATGACCGGGCCAGGTTGGAGAGGGGGAGACACCTGGGCAAATCTCAAACAGCTCTCAGGGATATCGGCAGCTGTATATGGAACAGCTGGGCCACGACCTTGCTGTGTGAACTTGAGTTAGCCCTCTGTAAGATAGAACGAGGGGCACCTGGCAGAGGCTTGGCTCAGGGCCTGGCCCTGTGGGCTCTCAGGAAATACAAGAGGGAACGTTGGTACCGTTATCTGATGGGTTCCATTAGCTCTCATTCACATCAGCCAGGTGGGGAGGGAGGGAGGGGCGAGGCCAATACTAATGGTTTCTGATTATTGAGCCTGATCCAGATCACGCAGGATGGAAACTTGCTGAATCCTTGCAACAACGCTGCGAGATAATAATAAAACAGTACGAACACCCCAATGCCTTCATTTTACTGACCCGTTTACCATGTACCAGGCACGCTTCTATAACCTTACACGGTTTCCTTCAGTTCATCCTTACAGCAACCTTGTGAGGTCAAACGCATCATTGCCCCCATTTGACAGATGCAGAAACTGAGGCCCAGAGAAAAATAACGTGCCGGGGGCCACAAAGATGGCGAGCAGCAGGGCCAGGCCACCCGGCTCCTGAGTTAGCGTCTGTATGCGTTTCCTAGGGCTGCTGTAACAAACGGCCACCAACGTGGTAGCTTAAAACAACGCAAATTTGTTATCTTCCGGTTCTAGAGGGCAGATTTCCAAAATGTACCTCACTGGGCTAAAATCGAGGTGTCAGCAGGCCTGAGTTCCTTTTGCAGATTCTCAGGGAGAATCTGTTTCCTTGCCTTGTGGCAGCTTCTAGAAGCTGCCCGCATTCCTTGGCTCACGGCCTCTTCCTCCATCCTCAAAGCCACCATTCCCATCAAGCCCACATCCGCCTCCATTGTCACATCTTCTCTGACTCCCCTGTGTCCCTCTTCCTGCCTAAGGACCCTTGACCTTGGGCCTACCTGGATAACCTCCCCATCCCCAAATCCTTCTTTTAATCCCACCCGCAAAATCCCTTTTGCCACGTAAGAGGTAACATATTCACAGGTTCCAGGAAGGAGGATATGGAACATCTTTGGGGGGAAGGGACCGTAATTCTGCCCACCACAGTGTCTTAACCATCGAGGCCAGGCATTGCCAAACCATCACCCGTGGGACAAATCCCACGTTGTCATATGACCATTTTTAGCATTATGACCATTTGCCTGTTTTCATATGATCCCGAGCTAAGAACGGTCTTCCCATTTGGCCGAAAAGCATCAAAAGAGGAAGACTATTTTGTCACGTGAAAATTATTGAAATTCAAGTGTCAATGCCATCAACC